CTGTTTTGGTTTGGTAACAATGGCATCCTATGAAGCACTCGGTAAAGAGACAATGGCTGATATAAGGAAGTAATACAATTACACAATTATTGAAAACCCATCCTCAGTTGAGCCGTTTAGCAAATGTGATTTATGTTGACTACTTGATTTGAAGATTCCAACTCTTAGTAATCAACCAGTTCACTCAGGCATATTGCTATTTAGTTGCAATATGACCATATTTCTCTTTGTGCAGGCACTAGAGATGGGATTGCTGGCTCCAGACATGGTCTTGTACCTTGATATATCACCAGAGGTATACTTTCATTCAAAAAGCAAGCTTTGGAATTTTGGATATTATTTGCAAAAACATTGGTTGTTGAATAGGCACTATAGGAATTTTGCCTTAAGTTCACGAATAAGAATTTATGGGACATACAATTTGTTTGGTAAGAATATGAGACTTGGCTGTTAAACCAAATCTTAGTTTTTTTTCTATTTATTTATTTATTTATTTTTTTTTAATAGCTTGCATTAGCCTGCACAATTTTAATGCACTAAGTTGAACAAGTATGCCAATTGGTGTATTACTTTCCATTTTTATTTATCATGATCCTTAATTGAAAGAAGGTTACACAAGTTACAACTAATTGTTATATTTGATAAAAATTAAATGTGAATGCAAGTTGTTCTCCACCAAATCTTAAAAAGTCAAGTCAAAGCATATCCTAATATCTTTTTTAAAAATGCGGAAAGCTGCAGAAAGAGGTGGTTATGGTGATGAAAGATACGAGCCTCTTGATTTTCAGGGGAAGGTCAGCGAAAAATATCAGGCTCTTCACGATGCCTCATGGAATGTAATGCTCTTTTCATGATTTCTTAATAACTTTTAGCTTGCAATGTTATTTATGCCATTTTAGGTATAGTATATGGTTTTGACAGTGGTGACATTGTCTTGCATCCTGATGACTGCAATATTATGTAGTGCAGGTTATTCTAATTTTCTTTTTCTTAAAAATTTTCCAGTTTCTTGTAAACATTGTTTTCCAAACTTAATTCTCGTCAAAAAATAATTGTTTATATGTGCAGCAGCTTTCCTCATATGAGGAAAATTTTAGTGTCAGCTTGTTTGTTATGATTCTGAAATCACTTTTTATAATATGTAGGTTGGTGAGATCATTAGCAGATTTGAGAAGATGATTTTCTCTTAAAAGGTATGATTTTAATTTCACATGTTTGGAGCTTTAAACAATTAGTTCCTCTGTTTTCAGCATTGCGTAATTAGTTGCGAGGTTAATTTAAAGCTATCTACATATATGATGCTAAGATTAATCATAATAGTGCACAAATGTGTTTATTGAAGTCTAGAATTGTCTCCAATTATTAAATTATGCATTACGCATGCTGCCAATATATTAGTGAATAATAACTCGAAACCAGTCGGATTGAGACTCATGATTTACTATGAATTACTATGTGTTTTGAGATGCTCTAACTGTTTATTTGAATTTGAGCTAGCAAAGGTGGAAGAAGGTTTCGAGGCATTTGTGAATCCTATTGAGTGCTCTCTGGTTCCTTCCCACGTGGACTATCCTTAATGCTTTGGTCTATTGTTAGTTATTTGGCTCTATTATGGGAGCTTTAAAACTATGACCACCGCTAACCCTCAGAAGATGAATTGCGCTTAAAACTTATCACTCACAACACTAACTTTCATTCTTATTTTGTTTGTGTAGGGAAGACGGATTATGATATGGAACCCTTTGAGCTAATGAGGTAGGAAAAACCACTGATTAAGCTGAAGAAAAGAATAGCAGCAGAAGGCTCTAAAGTTGTATTCTCTCCCTTGATTGAAAAGTATATACTGAAAAACCATCATCGTGTAAACAGTTGAATGCAGGTGAGTATCGCAATCTACTTCTCTTATATTCTGCATTATTGCACAAATATAATCATAAACAGAATTTTAGGTGACTGTTTTTTTTAAAGGGAATATTGAAACTAATAATCCCACCTTTTACTGGTCTGCTCAAAATAATCCCATCTTTCAATATTTTCACAATAATCCAACCTTTGTCATATATCTTCTCCAAGTGGTCCTTGACCGATTTTATGAAGTTGGTAACCGGTAAAAAAAGGTAAGCTTGCAGTTGTTTCTCTATCCTCCATTGATGAAGATCTTTCTTCATGATTCTCTCTCCCCCATTTTTTAAAACCCTCCATAATAAACACCCATTCCTTTAGGGTTAACAATTCCCTTAATATCCATATTTTTCATAGAGTTTTTCTCTAAATTCGGCGGCGAGCCGGGATTTCATCACGAACTTTCTGGGTTACTCAAATTTCACATAGCTCACGACTATTGAGAAAACATTGAAGATTGAGAAAACATTGAAGATGGAGTCTTACTTTTGCTGTCTTCTTTCATGGCTCATGTTTTCTTTTCTTTCCTCTTTGTTTCACACTACTGTCTTTACTCCCTTTTCCCCAATTCTATTTTTGTTCCTGATGATCATCTAATTCTTATTTCTTCATTATATTAAGCTTTCTCCATAAGATATACTGGTAACCATGGAGGGAAGGTGAGAGAAAGAATCGGCAACTCCACATAATGTTAACGGCGTGAGTTCACGATGAATATGTAATTTCTATTTCTTTTTAATTTTTTATTCTTTTTATTGAGTTGGCACGTAAACCTAGGGTTATAATCACAAATTTTCCATTGAGATAAACGAAAAACCTGAGCCTCCTCTTTTATTTATACCCACACCTTGAAATAAAAAGGTAAACTTATCATGTGTCTCTACATCTCATACAATATTCATTGATTATTACTGTAAACTATCAATTATACTTGGTAGATAAACAATGTGGGACCAAATAAAGGGTTCAGAGTCCTTCAGACCCTTGTTGTAGTTCACTAATGAAGATATCAAGCAGGTGCGCTTCCAACTCTAATGTTCAGATAATTTCAGATAAGAAAAGTTGTAGTCCCACTTTACATTCTGTCAAATGTCGATTAGAATAGTCCCTAAATCTTTTACTTGTTGCATCTTATGTGTACTCGGTGTTTGATAGGATTTTTCTCTAATATCAATATCCATTAGGTGGTGAATTATTTTGTTGCATTGCTAATGCAGGACAATAGAGGAACATGAGTGCAGCAATTCAAGACTTTAGGGACAGATTAAGGTCTCCAAAGCCAAAGCCTGTTCAAGATGCCCCTGCTATTTCTTCAGCCCCCATGCATCAGGCTCCTGTTTTCTTCCTGGGCCTGTTGTACATTGCTAGCTAATCATGTTGAGGATGCTTTTTTTTTTTTAAAAAAAAATAAATTTATTTTAATATACACTTTATAATTGTAATGATAGTTACACAAGAATATGTTGGGCATCAAAGAATGGACTTTTGAATTTGATGTTACCAAAATGGTTTTCATAGATTATAACAGGAGAATTAAGTGCTTAGGTATTTAGTTAGCTCTAAATTTGTTAGCTTCTATTTGGCTTATTTTAACAATATTGTTAGCTCTAAGTGCTTTAGGTATTTTGTTACATTTTTTTTTAGAATTTTAATTCAAAAACATTTTTTTTTTTTGGAATTTTAATTCGGTGTTTGTGACTTTTTTCTTTGGTCGAGTATTAAATGTCGTATTGTATTTGTTATACTCCCTCCGTGTTTTAATAAGTGTTGGTATTTGTGACTTTTTTCCTTTGGTCGAGTATTAAATGCTGAATTGTATTTGTTATACGTGTAATGAAATAGTTTAATACAGGATTTGGTGAAGATATTCAGGTGACTCTTAATGCCCTGGTTTTTGGAAATTGAATGGCAGATTTGTGAGTTGTGCTTAATATCTATTTCACAAAATACACATGTCGTTCATTTATTTGTGAATGCCATGGAACCATAAGAGGAGAGTGATAGAATGAGTTAGCAAAGGGGAAGGAGCTAAGTGGGACAAGACTTCTAGAAAGAGGTTTAGGAGGAAAGGAGGAGATGACGACAGTAGAGAGTTAAGAAGACAAATAATTGCAAAATTCCTGAAAGAGAATGACATTACAAGATGAAAATGCATAATTAGAAAATGAAGATCTAAAGAAATTCAAAGTAAGAGTGAGGAAGGAAGGAGAATGACTTAGAATTTATGAAGGTATTAAAAAGGAGCAAGGATAGGAAGGAGAAAGATATCAAGACCGAGAAAAAAAGAGTGTTTGGGGAAATAAAAGAAACAGGGGATTCCTTTCTTGTATGCACCTCTTACAAATACTTTTTGAATAAGGTAAATCACATGACTACAATAACATTGGCTCTTGATAACTTCCAATAAACACATCAGTGATCACTCTCATGTCTTTAGCTCCAAGCTTTTTAATGTTGTAAACGTAATTAGCCCTTTTATAACTAACCTTAATTAAAATTACTATTTTCTTTGTGATTACAAAAGACAACCGCCATTAAGTTCCTCGGAAGTAACCTCTAAATTACAACTTACAAAGCAATGTTCCTACGCTAAGCTTGCAACAAGCATGAGCATTTTTGAATAACCCTTGATAATATATTTTATAAACAATCAACAAATGTGGGGAGTCTGAAATTCCGATTTTTAAGGGTCTAATTTAAATATACTTAAAAGTATATACAGATCAAAGTACTTCGGAACCATATATATACGGGTGTGTATTATGTGTCAAGTACAGGTATGATGATCAATACAAGTCTTCAAATTTGTACTTACACTAGTACAAAAACTTAAATGGGTACCGTCAAATGCACATCGATTTTTAAAAACCGGTGCGAAAAAAAATAGGCGGGATTGAAGGAAAGACTTTTTGCACCGGTTCAAACTGAACCGGTGCGAAAAGTGTTGTAAAATAAAAAAACCGGTTATAATTTAATCTTCTTTCTTTCTCTTGAAACCCCTCGATCTTTCCTCCTCTCTCATCTGCCCTCTCTCCTCTCTCTCTCCACCATTGAAGCGTACTCATCTGTCTCTCTCTCCTTTCCTTTCTCCTCTCTTTCGATCTCCTTCTCCTTCTCCATAACCAAGCACAACCTTGAGAAGAAGGAAAAGAAGAGTAATATTGAGTGCCGTGGTGAGGTAGTTGATGCTGTTTCCGCCACGACTTTCGGTTCTTGCTCGGTGCCGCTGCCTCCTCCATCAAGGTGTGATATTGAGTTATTTCATTAATTCTCAATTATTTTAGATCTCTATTAGCACTTCTGTTACAAATTTCTTATATATTTTCATCCATAATAAAATTTCGTTAATTCTCAATTATTTATTTGTTATTGGATTGATTTGTAATGGATTTACTCGTGAATTTGTTCTATGTTTGAGTGATTTTTGCCAATTGAGGTTAATTGGAAGAAATTAAGGGTTTCCTGATTTCTCGAGGCTGTTTGTGGAATTTTGGGGGAATTTGAGATGGATAGGGGTTGCGGTGGTGGTTTCGTGGGTGCGGTGGTGGGTGTGGTGGTTGCGGTGGTGGTTTCGTGGAATTGGAGATGAATCGTTGAATTTGATGTTTACCAACTGGTTGCTGTTGCCCTTTGCAGTTTTGTATTAAAAAAGGAGTCCAAATTTTACCAGAGACGTGGAAGGTTTGTGGTTGAATCTACATTCAGATGTTAGTACCCGGGATTCACAAATTTCCTTGTCGACATACTGATGATTAGTTGCTGTTTCATAGTTTTTAAAGTACTAGGTTCGTAATATCCTCATTTCTCTGTCTCTCATCAGTGTCTACCCTGCAAGAAACTCTATCACTTGTCTTTTCATGCAGGCTTGGACCCAACATTGAATGATGATACCTGCGATCTTCCAAGGCCGTTGTGCTCAAAGTTTATGAGGTTTGCTTTGGTTCTTACTCTTTATCGTGCTTTTTATATCCTTAGATCTAAGATTTGTTGTTGAATGAAGGAGGCTGCGTTTCATCTTCAGCTTGCCACCTTAAATACATGAATATCTAGGCCAGTTTTGAATCTATGCCCATTTATGTTCATAATAAGGAGAATGGCTTGTCCATTCTTGAAATACAGCTCAATTGTAAGGAGTTGGACTATTTAACTAGTATTTAACTGTAGATATAAAATGACTGACAGTTTAATAAGACATTTTATTTAACTTTTGTAATCCTTAGTTAAAATTTGCTTATGAATCTTGTTCAACTTTGTTGGGTATGAATAGAAGCAACCTTCACCAATAGGAATAACTCAGAGGATTTGGCATTGGATCTAAATGATGATCTTTTTGAAAAGATACGTATCTTCTAATTAATTTTTATAGATGATAGATGATAGATGATGTGTCCTTTTACCCAAATGAGCAAGAAATGAGTTTGCATGAGGCTGACGTTTACAAACCTTAATTTTTAATTACACTTTCTAATTAAAAACAGGCTTTTAGAGTTTGCATTGTGCTTTAGTTTTTATTGATTACAATTTTAATATACTCCATGTCTTGAATTTTTTTTTTTGTCTTTGGATAACAATCATCTCTTGGATTGGGTGTCAAATTGTAGTCAGAGTACTATCCTGCTACTTGCTGAGCTTTCAATGATGAACTTATCTGTAATTTACAAACTAGATTTGCAGAAATTGCCATTTTGATGTGGTGCTTCTGCAGTGTTCTGTGTCCATCTCTCTCTCTCCCCTGCTCTGGAGCATTTGTGGGTGTTAGATCCAGTTATTGACTTATAAATGGTTTGCCTTCTCGACTGCAGATTATGTCATGGAAGAGGTTAAGAAAGCTGGCTTTACTGAACCCACTGCTATTCAAGCTCAAGGATGGCCTATGGCCCTAAAGGGTCGTGATCTTATTGGTCTTGCTGAAACAGGATCAGGGAAAACACTTGCCTACTTGCTACCTGCTATTATACATGTCAATGCTCAGCCAATTTTATGTAAGCATGCTTCTCTTTGAGTCTTGTACTAAAATTTCTAAGTGATCTGCTAAACCTGTCCGTCTTTGCCTCTTAATTGCCTTAACTTTAACTTAAGTTCGTGTCATTCTTCAGCTCCTGGTGATGGTCCAATTGTGTTAGTTCTGGCTCCAACTAGGGAACTTGTTGTACAAATACAACAAGAAGCCACTAAGTTTGGCACTTCATCAAGGATTAAAAATACCTGCATTTATGGCGGGGTTCCTAAGGGACCTCAAGTTCGTGATCTCAAGAAAGGTAGGTGCTGCTTGAGTTTGACATGACTTTGTCCGTCAAAGGGAGGGGACAAGGATATTCGAGATGCTTTCCTATCATATTGCGACTTTCGTGATCTGCGCTACTTGTTTTAGGTGGGACAAGTGATCCTTGTCTTTACAGCTCGTTCTAACGGCACTAATCACTGCATTGGGAAGTGTGTTGGCTGTTGTAAGTACATCTTAAATTGAGTCATTATTAATGAGCTTAATGTTCTGTGATTCTGAGTAAACTAGCATTCTTTTTTGGCTGAATTTGACCCAGAGGCCTAAAGCCACTGATTTGCACCTGCATTAATGTACTTTTGGTTATTGATATTCTGTTTCTTGTTTTTCGCCTATTTAGAAAACTTCTGTTGGCTTACAGATAAAGAATTATAATGTTATTACATTATTCATACTGTTTTAATTTTTCATTCTGCAGGTCCAACTGTGCCGGGAAAGAAATCTGGAAATATATATGCCATGAAAAAATTGAAGAAATCCGAAATGCTTAGTCGAGGACAGGTACTATTTTACATGTGTTGATTTTGATGCAAGTCCTTAAAGTTTATCCTTATATTGGGAATACATGTTTCCTAAGATGTATATTTGAGCTAAATAGTTGCTTCATGTTGTGTATGTTGTACACTTGTACTACTTGATCTCATCAAAAGATCGTCTAGATATGCAAAAATTGTAATATTTTCCCCTAATCTCCCTTAAGTGTTCTATATTCTAATGGGATGTTGAGGCTGTCTCCATTTTTATGAATGGTGCTAATGTCTGAATCTCTTCATTTGTTTTGCATTTTTTAGATTTATAGGATTGATACTTTATATTTTTTAGTGGGGCTATTGGAAAAATTGATAGTATAATGGCCTTGTAACACTGGAAATAACAGCTTGTGGTGGTTGCCACTCTCCTCATCTATCACCAGTTCTTGCCTCCAATTGTTTTTGGCTGGACGCTAGATCATGGCAAAGAATTAGTTTCATCTACTGATATTACTGATGTGTAATTTGTTCTTTTTAAAATTTCATCTTTTCTCTGTTCATGCATCATGCTCAATGTTTTCCTTGTGGAGATGTCATTGTCTTATTCATGACTTCTTTATCACTTGTGTACTGCATTGGTTGTTACAGGCCGGTGCAAGAATCTAGCAAGCAAGGTGTTCTTCCTGGCAAACCAGTTCCTGATCAGGGAGTGAGTATTCGCTTGCAGGCTGGTCGAGTTATGCATCAGAGGGAGAATGGAAAAGCAGGTCAGCAAGGGGATCATTTGATGAGGGAGGCTGATGTTGGTAGTCAAGGTAGTAGTGCTGACAGGCTTCAATCGGTGGCTGATGCAATTCTGTATGGATGTGAGAGGGAGGGGGGCTGTTTTTACTCATTGTTTGGGTAGCTGGGTGGCCTGGTCTGGCTTTGGCTCATGGCTGCTGCTGGTTCCCTGCTGCTACTGGTTTTGGTTTCAGTGTTGAACTGGTAATGGCTGATCAGCTGCTTTTTGTTGCTGGTTTCCCTGTTTTGTTGTTGCTGTTTGATGTTGGGTTGGCTGCTGCCTGTTTTTGGCTTCAGGGTGCTGCTGTGCTTGTGGCCTGCGTGGGGTTTAGTGCTGTTCTTGGGCTTTTGAAGCTGCTGCTGCTGTTGTTGGGCTGCCTGTTGCTGGGGTATTGCTGTTTTTCTTTTGGTGTAGCTGCTGCTGGTGCCTAATGTTTTCTGCAGGTTGGTCTGTTGCCACCTGTTGGCCTGTTCTGCGGGGGGCTGCTGCCACCTGCTGCAGTGCTGCTGTGTTGCTGAGTTGCCGTATGTGTTCGGGAAGCTATAATCTTGTATTTTATTTTGATTTATATTTTATTTTTTTGGACGAAAATTGTAATATTACAGCCTTTTTTAATGAAAAAATGTAACTTTATATATATGTTAGTGTTTATATATCAATTTAAGTGAAAAAAATGTATTTTGTTTTTATTTTTGGCACTGGTTTTGGAACAGATTGGTGCTAAAAGTTTTTTTTTTTTAATTTTTTTTTGCCACTTTTTGCACCGGTTCAAAGCAAAAACCGGTGCTAAAAGTTTTTTTTTAAAATATTTTTGGGGACTTTTCGCACCGGTTCACATCAAGAACTGGTGCGAAAACTTATTTTTCTCACCGGTTTTGAACTGGTGCTAAAAGTCTTGGGATTTGGCATCCCTCAAATCAGAACCGGTTCAAAACCGGTGCGAAATGGGGGTTTTGAACTGGTGCTGATTAGCAATTTTCGCCTAGTGTTAGCAAGCAATGGGCACCCGTGAAGAGAGAAAGACAGACAGAGGAGGAGGATCAAAAAGAAAATTGAAATAGAAAGAGGGATATAGAAAAGAGAAATAAGATAGAGAAAGGATAGGATCAAAATAGAGAGATGAATAGAGAAAGGATGGATTACTTAAGAAAATGATGGATCACTAAAATGATGGATCACTAAAGCTAATTAATAAATTGAGAGAGAGAGATAGACTACACTTATCAAAGATCACTTGAGAAAGAGAGACTACTTAAGAAACATAGATCATTTGAGATAGACCACTTAAGAAAAATAAGATAAATTAGCTTAGGAGAAAGAGTTACTAAAAGCTATAGATAGAGAGAGAGAGAGAGAGAGAATGAGAGAGAAAGGCCACTTAAGAAAGATCGATCATTCAAAAAAAGAGAAATATCACTTAGAAAAGAGAGAGATAGACTACTTAATTAAGAAAGATCGCTTAAGAAAATCAATTCAATTAGTTTAGGGGGAGAGAGAGACTACTTAAGAAAGATCACTTAAGAAAATTAGGGTAATTAGTTTTGGAGAGAGAAAGGCGGTTGGACAATTAGCTTTGGAAAAGGTTTACTAAAATGCTTAAGAAATAGAAGAACACTTATGAAAATAATAGCAATTATTTAAAAACACAAATGATCACCTTATCTAATACATCCTCAGCCCTTTCGCCATTAGATATAACAAACTTTTACACTTACCCTCACAAACCAACAAATAATTTTAAAACTCTTATTTAAATGATTATTATTACATTATATCATTAATTTTATAGCCAATATGATATTAAAATTAGAATTATTTATACTTCTTATTGTAACAAGATCTTTTGATCCGATCTAAGAACATTACTTCTTTTTAACATGATAATTCAAATTACTTCTTTCTAATAACATAATTTAAGTTACATCTTTCTCACATAATAACTTAGAATGCAATATTTCCCTCTTAGATTGCCATTAATACTTTAAATTCTTACAACATGCACACACTACCCAAACATAATTACCGTGTAATAGAACCACCGGATACATTACTTACTAATAATAAACACTGCCATTGAGTACCGCAGGCGAAGCATGCGAGACCACAACTAGTTTGACTAAAATATATGATATGTTATTTTTCTACATTAAAATTATGTTGAAATTGTGACATTATTGGTCCCACGGAGAAATTAAAAACACAGGAACGACTATTTGTGACGTGTATTTGCATGATTTCAAACTAATCTATTTAGAATACTACTCGCAATTGGATTAGTCGTTTTTGACTTTGTGACTACTATATGTATGAATAATCTACGTTTAGAAAGTTGAATTGCATGTTCCAGGAAGTAGACAAGCAGATGTGACATTTTGAAAGGTGCTTTAGTTGGATCATTATTAACTAGACTTAGCTTTTAAACTAATTAATGTGTTATTGAAGTTATCAACAGGCTAGGTTTTCACTAAGTTAGTTCAGTAAGATAAGCGAAGCAAGGGAAGAATTGAGGTCCGAAGAAATATGATTTAGGCCCTGTTCACTTCACCTTAAAAAAATAATATTCAGTAAAAATTTCAGTTCAGTAAAAATAATTTCAATTCAGCAAAAATAATTTCAGTTCAGTAAATAAGTTCAGTTGAGTAAAAACAATTTCAGTTCAGTAAAAATCAGTAACTTTAAAGAAAAAATATAACAGAAAATCAAAAAAAATAATTACAGTTCAGTAAAAATAATTTCAGTTCAGTAAAATTAATTTCAGTTCAGCAAAAATAAGGTGAAGTGAACGAGGCCTTATTCTATTTGATCCTAAATATTTACATAATAATTTATTCCATTATCACAAATTACACTAAGGGGTGAAAGGTGTGAATATTTAAAATGTAGTAGAAAGAAAATAAATTAAATATGAGGGAGGAAAGAAATCATTTAACTTTTACCTTTTTATTTGTTTGGTTAAACTATAAAAAGGAATCACTTAAACTTAACACTCTTTGTTTTTGTTTGAGGAGGCTAAGGATAATTGTTACCATAGGTTTAAACCGTACACCTAGCTAGCTAATAACCTAATACTGGTGTGGGTAACATGTGTGTCAATTAAACTGTACCAGCAAGGTAAGAAAGTTTGATATTACACCAAGGAGAAATATAATAAATAAACAACTTAATGGTTAAAATCGTTTCAGCATCAATTTAGTTGTTTAATATGTCAATCTATCACTTTTGCCGCTTAGTGACATATTCCATACAATTCAACTTTACTTTTTAGATTATAGGAGTGCAAGTTTGAAACTCATCATAACATATGAAAAGTAAGAACTAGCATTCTTATTGAAACTCGAACTCATAGGGAAGAAAATCGATTTATGGATTTCTCCTCAAGAAATTTCAAAGCATTAACTGCATAACCATACAAGGAAAATGACGTCCATTAGTAGCTGCCAATACATAGATCACACTAATCACAAAATACAGTGTGCCTTTATTATCACACATTATCGACATTATTAAGCTAGTTAATAATAAATAAAATAAGAAAGAATAGAAAAAAATTGCTTCATCAGAATTATTGTACGAAGTAATTTTTATACAGCATAGCATGAATCTAGCAACAATATCCAAATTAATTATAACCTTCTCACTCTCACTTCTTCAATTAATTTCCAAATCAACTTCTACTTCAACTTATCTCACTCACTTCTGTTCAAACGCCACTGAATTTGCTACAAACAGTGACTACCACACCAATCTTAACACCCTCTTCAAATCCCTCTCCTCCAACGCCACCATCAACCCCACCGGGTTCGACATCACATCCGCCGGCACCAACACAAGCGACACCGTCTACGGCCTTTTCCTCTGCCGCGGTGATCAAAACATCACCGCGTGCAGCGATTGTGTCAAGACCGCAACCACAACGGACCTACCAAAGTCATACTGTCCCAACAGAAAAGTCGCAGTTATATGGTACGACGAGTGTATGCTACGATACTCTAACGAATCGCTCCTTGGAAAAATGGAGCAATCACCTAAATGGTTCTTAACCAACACTCAACATATGACCGGAAATCAAACCGCGTTTTCTGATCTTTTAGGAAACACAATGAATAGTTTAGCAGCTCAGACGGCTAATAGTAAGACATCAGGTAAAAAGTATGCAACAAAAGTGACAACAATTGATAGTTTAAAGACATTATATGCGATGGAGCAGTGTACACCGGACATTAGCGCCTCAGATTGTTTCCTATGCTTGACAATTGCGATTGCGTCGCTTGACGTCATGATGGGTGCCCGTGTATTGCAGCCTAGTTGTTCTGTACACTACGAGATTTATCCATTCTATAATGGTGCCTCTAATGTCTCGTCACCACCGCTGCCATCGCCGTCACCTTCACCTGGTAAGTTAAGTTATTTTTATCAGTGAAGTGTTTAATGCTTAATTTGCATCTCCTTTTCTCTAAATTCTTTCTTCTTAGCATCATTAAGTATATTTGGTTCACATGGGAAACACCTCCATGGGAATTCTAATTTCATGGAAAATATTTTTATTTGGTATATCTCTTGAAATTGGGCTAAATTTGTTTGTTTGATGTTGTAGGAAATTTAGGAAATCATTTCCCCTTCTTTGTTTGGTGTACACATCTATTTACTATGGCATGGTACTACTTTAACTTCAGTTTTTTAAATTTTTGAGGATATTATTGTCATTTTCATGAAAACTTGACATAGTAAATTGAAACTCACCGTAGGCCGTAGGGTGGGGGGTGGGTGAGAAATCTCCAACCTTTTGAAGCAAATAGCAATTCCCTTGGAATTTTGAGTTCCCATACCTTTTTTTTTTGTCTACCAAATTAAACACAACCACAAATACCGATTTTCAAAGGAAGATAGTTTGACCAACACCTTAAAGAAAATGATGTAATACCTCATTTTTTTTTTTTTTTTTTTTTTTTTTTTTTTTCCTAATCATTTCTAGAGTAGTCCGTATTGGAATGGAGATAATGAAATTCAATTATTCAAATAATAATTTCTAAAGTACTTCTTCTGTCCTCATTTACTCCTTCTGTCCTCATTTATTGGACGAATAAATGGGTCAAACTTCATCAACTTTGACAATAGATTCCAATCAACTTATAAGAGATATTCCGTAATAGTCATGTGAGGTCTTGTTAGATTTGTCTCAACGTATATTTTATTTATATCGAGTTTAATTTCATAATTTTTATGCGTATGAAAGTAGAGTTATATGCGTTTTATTAAGACTCGTCTTGAAGATTGTGAAAAGTCGAATGTGGGGGCAATAGAATAGGGACAGAGGAAGTAGTCCGTATTGAAATGGAAAAGGAAAGTTTGACCTATTCAACCGAGGGAAAAAAAACAGAGTTGATAAAAACATATATAACAGCTAAAACAGAACAATCACAAATTCTTGTTTACGGCGGACTTTCATTAACTTATTGTAAGACTGGTTAAAATTAAAGTAAAAGTATTTAAAATTAACCTTATATACTACAAAAGTTACCATTTTCCTAACATAAAGTTAACCCTTAAAAAATCACTTATAAGGTATGGTGAGATTAATTGTATTAGCCTTTATATCATCTATCCATTAGAAATTAACAATAAGATATAATCAAACTCATTATAAATTAAAAGTTCGTTACCGTTAAAGGGATTAAAGTTACCATTAAATTTTTTAAAGTTACTTCTAAATTGACCGTCTTACAATAAAACAAACGTATATCCATCTTATACGAGACTTATTGCAGGTTAATTTGGGCTAGAATCATATTAAAAATATAATTTTATCATGGGTACTGAATATAACTTCTCTTTTTATATTAGTGGAGTTTCATCAACCTTTCTATACTCCATTACTATAGATAGGAGTAGCTAATAGTGTCAAGAAGTCTTGAATATTTTATGATGTTTTTTACTCCTTCGATTTTTTTAAAAGTGTTACGCTTTTCATTTGCAACTGTTTTTTAAATGTTAACACTTTCTGTTTTGGCAAACTACTCCATTTAAATATTAATTTTCAGTTTTCTCATGGTTCTCACTCAAACTAGAAACTTTTTATATTTTTTTTATTTCTTTCCCTCACATCTTAACTAGTATTGTACTTAATTTCCTCTCATCTCTTGAAGTAATATTTAATTTTCCTAAAACTATGTACAAAAAGCTTTTTGACACTTAGAAAAATGAAGTATTGTATGATGATCCCCTTTAATTTTGGCAGGCAAAGCTACAAAAATTACGATAGTGAACAATTGTACCTACACAGTGTGGCCTGGAATAATATCCACCATCAATAGCAGTGTCAAAGTCCCAACAGGATTTCCTCTCCTAAAAGGGGAGTCCAAGATCATTAACATCCAATTCAATTGGGCGGGCAGCATATGGGGAAGGACCCTTTGCTCATTTGACCACAATGGGAATTTCTCTTGGGAGACAGGCGACTGTGGCACGGGTAAAATTGAATGCCAAGGCAGATCTTCACCGAATCTGGTGACAGTGGCTGGCTTTCGTATCGGTCAAATTGGGAACCAATGCATGTACTTCATCAGTGTTGAAGCCGGTTACAATCTTCCTATGATGGTAACTCCCGAAGGGGTGATCGGAGCCCGTTGTGTTGTCACGGGTTGCGTGTTCAACCTCGAAAATTCCATATGCCCCCCTAGTTTGAGAGTGATCAATAAGAATTTGAGTATGATCGGGTGTAGAAATCCTTGTGATGATGCTAAACAATGTTGCAAAACATGGCCAATGTGTTTGAGTAGTGACTATGTGGAATCATCGAATCTCTTCGGGAAGTCTTGCCCGCGGGCAAATAATAATCCCTCCGACATGACCAACACCATTTTCACTTGTCAGAGCTACAAAACGTCTTATAAAGTTACATTTTGCCCATCTCCCAACATGGCCAGGTACGAACACTTTTTTTTTCTACTCACGCACTCATCCACTTTTTATTTTCCAAAAATGTATTTCATGATGTAAACATATTAAATGCTTATACTTTTTTTTTTTTAAAAAAAAAATAAATAAAAAATCAATGCTTAAACATGCAATAATTGTGATTGGAAAAACCCTGTCTTTCAAAAGAGGTTAAAGGGTCGTTTGGTTGGATCATTTAGAATGGGTTGGAATGGATTTGTCTAATTTTTTGTTTGGTTGAAGTTTTTAGTAATGAAATCTCATACCCAAGGGGTTCTAAGACTTCTAACACTCTCGTATACCCCACAGCTCCTCTTAAGATTCACTATCCATTCTATTAATGGAGTATAGAATCCAATTTTACAATAAAACCAAACAACTTCAGACTACTATGGGTTTTAGAATTCATAACTCTCTAGTATGACATTTAATACCAATCCATTTCAATTTGATGAACCAAACACCCCTTAAAAGTCATTACTTTCGAGGGAGACACGTTGCTCTTAATAATAGGAAGCATTATCATAGCCTAAGAACAAACAGAAAACTTTTAAGAAACAAAGTTGGGGCTTTCCACCGAAAATCTGATGAAGCCCTTTAAAAGTTAACAGTAATGGAGGTTCATTAGGATATTATTTAAACCTATTTTCTAGACATGTGGAAAAATAGTACGAGACAGATATTTATATACACTCTTAAATGAATAAATTTGCACTGTCTCTTCTAAGATAGTCTGTTTTTTCTTCTTGATAAATCTTGTTCAGTTTGTTCTCAACACCATTGCAAACAGTACAAGAGCCTATGCCGCCTTCGTCATCATCAGCGCCACCCTTTACTTCATCACCATCAGGTAATAAGTAATAGTGTGTTGCATCTATTTTTTTTTTCTTATTTTTTTACGGGATATACTCTATAGTACATACACTATTCTCCATTTAGTAATAGACGCAATACCCTTTTTTTTTCCGTACTTATTGCAATCTTTCTTTATTTGCTAAGATTTCTACAACCATTTTATTATTTCTCTTTCCCACTCACCTAACTTAATTGTAGAAATATTTTATTTTTTAATAAACTAACAACCCCGCTTACACTATTCTTTTTTGCACTAAAAAAAACTTAATCTATTTTTTTTTATAATTATTTCTTTTTTCTACTTACAATTAGATACCTCCACTATAAAAATTCCCCTTTGGGTCTCGGCCTTATAATTCTCCTTAAACTTTGTGTAATATCTAGTGTTTGCAATTATTTGGAGCGGAGAGAATATATGTAACGAAATTTTCTATACAAGCAACACTACGAAGTGTTTTTTTTTCTTCTTTAACATAAGCCTATAGAAAATATCCTTAATTAACAACAGGCGCTAAACTATCTGTAGTTGTAGTTGCAAGCAAATCCTCTATCTGTCTATGACCTTGTGGATATTGCAGTCCATGCCCATAATTACTATTGTCATGAATGACAATAACAAGTGTCTGTTGGTACATTTATACCTCATGTTGACATAGTAATTATACCAACATAAAGTCTAAAAATACCAACAATCTTGTTGGTATATTTAGACCTCATATTGGTTTAGTAATTATACCAACATGAAATCTAAAAATATCAACGGGACTTTGTTATTGTCATAGAAGACATGAGCAATTATTGATTCAGAAAACCTCGAGAGTATCCATTGCACTTCCTTCACAAGTTTCTTATTTTGAACAAGATTTATTTTGTCATTCATAGAATGGGATTGTTTCTTGAATTTTAATTAGTATTTTTTGTACAATCAACTATCTTGCCTTTGCAGGAAAGAAGAAAACATATGTAACGAAAGTAGTTGTTGCAATCGCTATTCCAATAGTTGTGTTGACATTGCTAATTGCATCATGCACGTATTATGTTTGCTGGAAGGCAAAGAAGTCTCTCTCCATAGACATACAAAATGGTAATCATCGAGTCATAACTCACCATTGACTCCTCTCTCTATTGGTTTGAAGGTTAAAAATCATGTGCTGATCTAATTTCTTATTGTACGTTGCGCTATCATAGTGCTTGAGGATTTCACGACTGCAGAGTCTTTGATATACGAATTCAGCACCCTCCAAGCTGCAACAAACTACTTTTCAGATGATCTAATGCTTGGCGGAGGAGGATTTGGCAATGTCTATAAGGTAACAACTAATCAGTAAAGGATTAAGAAAAGATTGTACAATGCGTAAGAAAATAGTTCAAATGATCAAAAAATTGTTTTTCATAATTGATTGTTTTTGTGCCTTAGGGAACCCTCCCAAATGGACAAGATATAGCAGTTAAGAGGTTATCGAGGGTCTCTAATCAAGGAATAGAATCGTTTAAGAACGAGGCTGTATTGATAGCTAAACTTCAACATAAAAATCTGGTTAAGCTTTTGGGATTTTGCTTAACAAGAGAGGAGAAGCTTCTTGTGTACGAATATGTTCCTAACAAAAGCCTTAACTATTTTCTATTTGGTATGTTTATTTTGAGATGCATCATAGACTTGTCTTGTAACTTGACGTGCCAATAACGAACTCAACTACATTAGATTAGTTATAGGTCTTTTGATTTTTAGATGAGTAATTCATTCTATTTAATTTACATATACATTATAGATCCGAAAAAGCAAGGAGAATTGGATTGGCCTATGCGCTACAATATTATAACAGGTATAGCTCGAGGACTACTTTATCTACATGAAGACTCTCAACCTAGAATCGTCCACCGTGATCTAAAAGCAGCTAATATCTTGCTTGAAAAAGATATGAACCCAAAAATCGCAGACTTTGGGTTAGCGAGGATCTTCAAAGCTGAACAAACAGAGGATGACACTAATATAGTAGCAGGAACATAGTAAGTTCTGGTTCTACTTTCTTGTCTTAGTTATTTCGTCTCCTGTCACCACTCCTAAGTATAATAATTGCAATTTGCTGACAATGTCTTTTAGTGGTTATATGGCCCCAGAATATGCAATGCATGGACAATTTTCCGTAAAGTCAGACGTGTATAGCTTTGGCGTGTTAGTATTAGAGATTGTAAGTGGCAAGAAGATCAATAGCAAATTCAACCCCTCGGGAGTAGGAGACCTCTTGACTCATGTGAGTAAAAGAATTTTATTTTTTTTCATTTTGAAATTGGATTTGATTTTAAGCATGAGAAATATATATTTACTACTATATGCCTCAATTATTATCTTCTAGGCTTGGAGAAGCTTGAAAGAAGAAACACCTTTGAACTTTATGGCTCCAACATTGAAAGACACATACTCGGCTGATGAAGTGATGAGAAGCATTCATTTAGGCTTATTATGTGTACAAGAGAATGCACATGAGAGGCCAACCATGTCAACAGTCGTCTTCATGCTCAGCAATACAAACTCTACTACAAGTACACTTTCAACACCTCAACGCCCTCGATTTTATTACAATAGTAGTGTAGAATCATCTCATATCATGACAAGGTCTAATAAAAATTCAACAGCAACATCATCCACCTCATGCGACTCAATGCCATACACACAAAATCAAGTAACAATCAGTGAGATGAATCCTAGGTAGATAGAGTATCTTGGACATCACTTCTGAGCACCAAAAAATAAAAATTATACTCCCTTTTAATTTATTTGTCATATATGGAATCTTATGCAATTTCATATGCAATGTTGTAATGAAAATACAAGTTGTCACATATGGATTCATATACCATTTCAAAAGGGTATGTAGGGAAAAGGCAGAGAAAATATGGTCATTGTTATGAATCCTTGGCGTATATCTTTCAACACATACTTCTACAGTTCTACACATATCCTTCATCGATTTTGACGCAACACTGTATTATTTTTGTTGTTGATATGAAATAGCTATCTATCTTTGGCGTTAATTTTTGTTGCTAATATAAGTGTTCTTTCATATTTCATTATTTTAAGCAAATTAAATGCTTAAGATTTTTTTATTTGAAAAAGTCATTTTGTTTTAATATCATTCTATATTTATTTGTGCACTGATGCATAACTTCATCTGAAATAAGTCAAATTGACACAAACTTCTACAAGAGGGGGGTGAATTGTAGTGAGTTCCTAGTGGCAACTTTTCATGGAAATATAAAACAGAATATTAAAGGAACTTGCAATGCACAAACACTAGTAGAAAAAATGAAATAGGCACCGCAAAATGCGCACCGGTTTTTAAAAACCGGTGCGAAAGAAGATAGGTGGGATTGGGGGGAAGACTTTTCGCACCGGTTCTAACCAAATCGTTGCGAAAAATGAGTTAATCGCACCGGTTCGGTTCGAACCGGTGCGAAAGCTATTGTTAAAAAAAAAAAAAGAAACCCCGGCCATTTTTATCTTCTTGATTACTCTTTCTGTCTTTTTTCTTTCTCTTTCCTCGATCTCTCCTCCTCTCAACAATGGAAACCCTAAATTCCTTCTCTCTCCTTCTCTCTCCTTCTCTTTCCTCACACTGAAAAAAAACCCTAACTCCTTTGCTTTGCAATTAGCCGTTGTCACTCTAATTCCCCACAGACCCGGCACTACGCGGAAGGAAACCCACCAAGACCCGCCCCTTAATTAAAGCAATTAAACAAGCATAACAAACTTAATCAAACAAGATTTAGGACAAGAATTATACCTTTGACGCGTGCTTCGCTCCCAAGGAGCTCTTACTTCAAAATCTCGAAAAGACGAGATCTCCGACGGTTCGTACCCACGACCCGACCCGAGCGTCCTAAGTCTTGAAGGTTAGTCAAGACCCGGACAAAATAACTATGAGTTTTACGAATCAAAGGTTTACTCTTTCTTAGAGTTGGCTTTTTAATTCCACTCAAGGTTGTTCCATTTCCCAATACCAAGATTGGTATTTATAGGGAAATGAGCCCTTGCATTTCATTCCCCAACCAATGTGGGAGAATGATTTATTTGCCAATTAATTTATTTCTAAAATAAATCATTAAACAAATACAATCACAATACGACAAGTGGCGCATTTATAGAGCAAGCCAAGTGAGGACCAAGGCTTGGGGGGGACCATTGCCTTGATCCCCAAGGCCATGAATTGGTCCCCACACACCATGCCCAAAACCGGGTCAAGGTGGGCTAGCTGGCTGCCAGCTAGCGTGCCAGCTGGGGCTGCCAGCTAGCACTGCCTTGCTGCCTAGCACCCAGCCAGCCAGCCAGTGCGGGTTGTGGCTGGGCTGGTGCTGGTGCTTGTGTGCTGGCGCTGGGCGCTGCTAGCACCTAGTGCTAGCACTGGCCCCAGCAGCCCCACGCACATTCCTCGCGCGCCATTGCTAGCACAGCCAGCATGGGTGCTGCTAGCGAGCCACGCATGCTGGTCGCACTGACCATCGCACTATGCGCACTGCCACACGCATCACCCCACGCATCTCGCACTGGCCTCGCACCATTGCTGTCATTGCTGCGATGCCTTCTTCGCATATGCACACGCACACAAGGCCTGCATAGGCGCTGTGCTTATGCGAGGGTCCTGCGATGGTGCCTAGCACCCAGGCACGCATGCTGCGATGCAGTGCCATGCGAAGGCACACATATGCGCAGGCATGCTAGCTACGATGATGCGATGGGCTCAGCCACAAGCACACACGCACTGGCCTAGCCATGCGATGGGCTGTGCTTGTGCTGCGATGGTGTGCTGGGGCGCTATGGTGCGTATAGCACTTTCCATGGCCTGCGATGATGCGATAGTGCCTAGGCCCTATGCACTCACGCTGCTGTGCTGCTGTGCCACGCGAAGGCACGCACACACACGCAGGTGGTGCTGCGATTGGCAGCCAAGTGCGCCTAGCACTCATGGCGCGCCTATCACGCATGGTGCGCCTAGCACACCATGGTGCGCTTAGGCTTGCGATGAGCTAGCCTAGCCTAGCTACGGCTACGCTCATACTTGTCGCTTGTGATTTTGCGACGCTCGGTCTCGACGCCCTAGGCTCGATATCCGACGTCTGAATTCGTAAAACTCTGTCGACTCATTAAATCCTTTCGGATTAATTCGACGTCTCGGATCGGAGATTCGATTGGGTTCGACCCGAAGGGTTCAGTTAAGATTAAGCTGTAATATCAATTATACCTTGATATCACTGATCGGAAGCGGCCTCCACCTAGGCATTCCGATCACTTGACCTTACTGAAGAATTACCTCTGTAATAATTCTGAACCCTCTACCGGAATAATACACTTGCTGGAAGGACACCATTCCTTTCAATCTCCCACTTGTCCTTCCGGACAAGTGTGCATATTGTGTATCGCTTATTTCCTTTGTCACTTAATGTTTCTTCGTGAACTATAAGGTAAGATTCCTTGTCATCCTTATTACGTTCAGAAGTGTTTCTTGATCTCCGAGTTCGACTGTCAATAAGCAGATGATTTCTAAAATCCATCTGAGCATGGCCATGCATTTTACAGTCTCACTCTTCGAGCGGCCTTTTAAACAACAAAACATTTTCCCTATTGTTAGTAGGGGGACAATCCCAGTCTTGTATTGTAAGTTCTTCTTACTAAGAGGACAAAGACTCCCGAGTGTTCCCGTTATGATCCCCAGTTACGGCAGACGTTTGGAAACATCAAAGAGCCTAGTACTCAAACAAGAAAACTTCACAGTACTCATGGTCTGAGGAATTAAGTTCCGATAGCCATAATGAGAAATGTACTTATGACAAAAGTTAAATTTTCTTAAAGTACTCTCATAGGTCTTATCCAGTACAGTTCTAAACTGTACCTGTACAAATGATTTATGACTGTCACGTCCTCACAGCACAAGAAACGGTGCTGTAAATCATACTACACACTAATCTACAATCGTCCACCTGTTAGATGACCTCGATTAGGGATACTTTTTGATTTTATATTCAACGTTCACTTAACAGGTGTTTCTTTATCCAAGACATGGTCTTGATACCCTGTTTTGAATATTTCAGTAAATCGAATGGACTCATTATTTAATTCTAAACCAAAATTAAATAGTAATGGAGTGAATGATAATATTGCATAAAATTAATTACTCCATTAATGAATGGTTTTAGTACAGTGTTTTACATTAAATCAACCCTGTTTAATTAAAACACTTGTACAGGAAATATCAAAGCCAGTCTCCAACATGCTTGATTCCCATTGCCTCAACGTGTTTGTTGTGTTTCACTTGAGGCAAAGGTTTAGTCAAAGGATCGGCTACATTATCATCCGTGCCGATCTTACAAATTCTGATTTCACCTTCGGATTTCCATTCCCTTATCATGTGAAATCGCCGTTGCACATGTTTGACCTTCTGGTGTTCTCTCGGCTCCCTGGCCTGAGCGATAGCTCCATTATTATCATAATAGAGGTCTATCGGTCCCTTGACAGAGGGTACAACACCAAGTTCATTAATGAACTTGTGAATCCAAACAGCTTCCTTGGCAGCTTCCAAAGCGGCCAAGTACTCGGCTTCAGTTGTAGAGTCTGCAATGGTGCCTCGCTTGGCACTCTTCCAGCTGAACGCTCCTCCATCCAGACATGATAGATATTCTGACTGTGACTTGAAGTCGTCTCTGTCAGTCTGGAAGCTAGCGTCGGTGTAACCTTCAACAACCAGTTCTTTGTGGCCTCCATATACCAGGAATTTATCCTTGTTCCTTTTCAGGTACTTAAGGATGTTTTTGGCCGCAGTCCAATGCGCCTCTCCTGGGTTCGATTGGTATCGACTCGTTGTACTTAGGGCATACGATACATCCGGCCTTGTACATATCATGGCATACATGATCGATCCGATTAGCGAAGCATATAGGATCTGATTCATTCTTTCTCGCTCAACAGGTGTCTGTGGACACTGTTTCTCGCTGAGAGTTATGCCATGGGACATGGGTAAATGCCCTCTTTTGGCATTTTCCATGTTGAATCGAGCCAGTACCTTATCAATGTAAGTATTCTGGCTTAATCCAATCATCCTCTTAGATCTATCTCGGTAGATCTTGATGCCCAATATGTACTGTGCCTCTCCTAAGTCCTTCATTGAAAAGCACCTTCCCAACCAGCCCTTTACGGACTCCAATAATTTTGTGCTATTTCCAATGAGCAGTATGTCATCGACATATAGGACTAGGAATGCAATATCACTCCCACTGACCTTCTTGTATACACAAGACTCATCTGGATTCTTGATGAAACCAAACTTGCTGATGGTTTCATCAAATCGCAGATTCCAACTTCTGCAGGCTTGCTTTTAGTCCATAAATGGACTTCTTCAGCTTACAAACCTTTCCAGCGTTGCCTGGATCGACAAAACCTTATGGCTGTGTCATATACACAGTTTCTTCCAAAATCCCATTAAGGAAGGCGGTTTTGACATCCATTTGCCATATTTCGTAATCGTAATATGCAGCAATCGCTAGGATAATCCGGACGGACTTTAGCATTGCAACTGGTGAAAAAGTTTCATCATAGTCAATCCCGTGGACTTGTCTATAACCTTTTGCCACCAGTCTAGCTTTGTATATCGATACATTTCCATCTTTGTCTGTCTTCATTTTGAAGATCCATTTGCATCCAATGGGAGTATAACCCTCGGGCAAATTCGCCAAGTCCCAGACTTGATTTTCAGACATGGAGTCCATCTCGGATTTCATGGCCTCTTGCCATTTTGCAGAGTCGGGACTCGTCATAGCTTGTTTGTATGTCGCCGGCTCATCATCATCCATAACTAGGATGTCCTGATCATCAGTTAAGACAATACCGAGGTATCTGTCTGGCTGAGATCTTTGTCGTTGCGACCTACGTAGGGTAATCGGTTGAGCGTTTACATTGTCTGTTTGACTCTGACTAATCTTCTCAGATGCTTCCAAAGTATCTAGATTGTCAGTTTTGTCAGGTTGACATTGTTGCTCGTCCTCTC